CCTGGAAAGGTTTCCCAGAACTAACCAAACCATGACAACGCCTCATAATTTTGAATTTTTGCAATTCAGGAGGAGGGGGTTTCTATTCCATTAGAGGTCCTGCCTCCTGGCACACATTGTCAATTAAACCAAGACGCAAGCACTCCCTAACCTTCTACTGATAAGTGTCTAAGAACTGTCACACCTCCTCCAGGGTGTTAGTCTGTGTGAGTTGCACCCCCCTATGCAGCAGATTCTGCTAATTTCCCACCTACAGTAGGGGCCAGGCCACCACCAGCTCAGTGGCTACCTGGTCAGGCTCAAATGCAGCCCTGGAGTCCGTGGACCCCACGCGATCAACTCCCGGGACCCCCAGGGGGACCCTTGATAGGGGCAGGAACTTGGGAAGGCAAGACCATACCTGTACCCTGTTTCAGTTGCCATGCATTAGCAAGATGGGACACTAAGCATTCCACAACTCATTGCAGCTAACGTTGCCTGCTCCAAGCTTTGAGCACATTTAAGGTCACTGATCTGCCCTTCCAGGGCTGCTACCTGGTCCCGCAAAGCCTCAGTCTCCTGGTCAAGAGCCTTAAGTTCAGCAGAAACCAACCCACCCTGCCTGCTAACATACAGGTGGACTTATATGCCAACTCTCATGGCAGCTTACGCAGAACTGTTTCAATTGTCTGTGGGCCAGTCTCTGACACAGACTGTATTTTGCATCAGGCTTCCAGGGGGGTCATTGTTACCAGGAAAGCAGCCACGGGGGTCCAGTGTTCACCGTTAGACCATCTGATGATACAGGGAATCACTGGCACATCTTCCCCAGTCCCCAACCTTCTCCACAGCCACAGCATGATTTTTTGGGGGGGGAAAAAGGTAGTCGACTAGACCAAAATGTAAGGGTCAAATGTATGCAGGTACCCCTAGAATACCAGGCAGTGGAAGGATTTAGGAGAATTTATTTCCAAAGTTGAGAACACTTAACATCTCGGCACAAATCTGTACCAGGCCTAAGAAAGAGACACACCCCCTGTTCTTCTCAGGGCTTTTATCATCCCTGGCCTCCCCACTGTGGGGGCTTTCAAATGTTTCTGAAAGAACTTAACTTCTCTAGTACGCGAGGAGTCAGCTTCTCTGGAATGCAGGAGCAGAAAATATCTAAAACAGGTTTTGGGAAAGATGCTTCGTCCCAGACAGGAAAGTTTCCTCAAGCAAAAAACCCTTATCTCCTCATAGTATCTTCTGGAAGGCTTTTCTATACTTACAATGAGGAAATGGCATTGGGACAAAACTGGGCAGTACATCACACAACATGAAACAGAAGTAATTATAATTTATCTAGGAAGTTTTCCTGAGGTGGAATACCCTCCTTCAAGCCTTTGTGTTTACATGTTTCAGCCACAACTTGCCAAGGTTGAGAATTTGCATCATAAGGCTCTCTAGGCAAAATCTGCCAGTGATCAAAGACCCACTGTAGAAAAGCCCATCCACCAGTGTTAGATCTCATCAACAGTAATAACTCCCCAAAACGCTCTTCATAATGGCAGATAGGAAACTGCTACTTTGCAGGTAATTCTTCCAAGCACACAAAAATGAGGTCAACTCCAAAGAACTACAGAACTCGTGTGTAAGTAAACTGGCAATAAAAAGGCAAACAAAAGTCAACTTAAACAGATAAAAAAATATATGGGGAAAATTATGTTTCATATGTCTCAGGAACTGACCCAATCAACTTGAGATCTTCAGGTAAGCGGTACAAAACTGTTAGCTCAAAAGCAGTCAAAGTGTTATGGTTACAAAGGAAAGGGGTGGAGCTTTAGCACTGAATATTCAATACCATGCACATCATCCCTCGGGGGCAAGGTGTCGACAAGAAAAACCAAGGAGCGGAATGGGAAGTGTGCCATATTGCCTGGCTTTTGACGGAGAGGCACCAGACATACACACAGATCTATAAGATCACAAATATGTCCGCTTTATTGCAATCGTCCAGGGTTTTTATAACATCTCTACTCAGGGTCCCGTGACAAGAAGCATACAATTGGACACTGGCTACCATCTAGTTGAAAACATTCATTACAAATTCCTTTATAATTGGACATTAACAGATA